CTTCGTTTATTCGACTTTTGTCTTGCCTTAAAGGAAGAGTAAATTTTGTGCGTTACCATAATAAAAGGTTGAGTAAGACTAACTATTGGACTTACTGTTATATAAATAGTTATATTTAATTTCTCCTTTTTTTTTGTCCCCTCTTTTTTTTTTGTACTCGTCCACGCGCGTTGAAACCGCGTCTATCACTGTTTAGTTTTAATCTTTTAATATATTGTGGCATAACTTCAAATTTCTCGAGTGAGATTCGATTTTTTTCCATATTTTTGAGTGATAACCTTTTTGTTCGTCATTTAATTCCCCTGGAGGAATATTTGATCTACCCATCAGTATTATTTGATCCTTGGTCTTGAGGAATTTTTCCTAAAGGCGCAGAGGTAAAGGGGGTCATTTATTGGTATTCCTATTCTATCCTTGGCTACAGCCTTCCTCCCTTGAGTGTGTCGGCAAAAAAAAGAGTAGCAATACCCCAAAGTAGAGACTATCAAAGCAGAACTTTGTGGTGAATATTGTTTTCTTGAGTTTCTTCCTTTTTATATTTTGGAAAGGGGATAAACTTCCGTAAAGGCCTAAACCCCTGGTTTCAGCCTTTGTTCATTTAGCATATAGGAAGATTTTGATTGAAATAAAAAGGGAAGCACCTAATTCATATATATATATATCATAATAAACCTTCACTTTTTATTTATATCAAAAAGGTTTATCAGTAAGACCTTTCTTTTCAGAGTTTTAACTAAAATAAAATTATTCGTTATTACTTTTCTAGACTACACATTCACTAGCTTTAATTCATATAATAAAATCCGATATAAATACATATTCTTGTGTTCTTCGATAAGTTATTATTATTCTTTTATTTATTGGTGAATTTGTGAAGTTGACATCACCTAAGAATCTTGAAGATTAAATAATAAAACACTTGTAAAGTGTTTAAGGCTCTTTGTTTATAAATACTTGCTTGGATTTTACTCCCCTGAAAATCATTAGGATAAAAAATCGTCTAAACTTTTTTCTTGCGCCTTAGGCATTTTTTCACTTTTGTTTTTTTCGCTTCTTTTTTTCTTCTGAGCGGGATTTCTTCCCTTCCTTGAGGTATTCTCCTCAGCGTCTGCTCTTCACTTGTTATTACTGTTTATTCATCTTTATTTTAACGCTACTGAGCAAAATACACTTTGCTTCGCGTTTGTTTTTGTCTGCAATCATATTAATTACTGAATTTTGTTCTTATCATAGCAGAGAGGAGCGTGTTTTTTAAAAGCAAAATCGAATTTTCAGATTTTTTAAGGCGAACCATTATTTATAAACGTATATAAAGGGTCCCGAAAAGACTTTTAAACACGTTTTTCCTTTTTTCTTTAGGGCAACAATATTTAAGTTATACTCGAAAGACTCATTAAATTGCATTCAAAGAAGTTTGAGTAACAATATATAACTTTTAAAAATCATAGAGGTGTGTAATCCTGAGGTTCTTTGTTTGGTTTGCAGGTTTCCATTATATATATTTTTCCATTGTGTGCAGGCATAGGAAACGTATCAAAAAGTCAGAATTCCAAACATTCAAGGTAGAAATAGGATCATATACATTTCTGTTTCTGCTATTTTAATAAGTTCACACTTTTTAGAAATCTCAGCTTTATACTGCCTTTTTTAACTGAAGAATTCATTTTTTTCAGCCGCTGAGCGAAAGATTCATCTGTGAGATAAAATAGAGGACAACAAACCATATTTAGGCAAACATAGTGTCTTTACATATTGTTCAGGTTCATTGCATATCGAACACTCATCCTTGTATTTAATTTTATCTCCTTTTCAGGTGTCTATTCACAACTTTTCTATTTGTGTGCTAATCTTTGTCTATATATATTTTTTATATATTTATATTTATTTATTTGAGTTGTGTGGTTTTTTCTTATATCCCACTCAGTACTCAAAAGTATATTTTGGAAGCATATATATTTTTTTAAACATTATTGAAAGTAAGAAACAAAAGCTTATTGTTATTTAAACTTCCTTGCGTATCTTTTCAGGACAGATTTTTGTTATATTGATTGTGTGAGTGCTCTCACTATTAAATTTATCTTACACAAGAGGACTATTGATCAGTTTCACTTCAGGGAGCCGAAGGATTACTTTTCAACATGTATGCAACACACCCGTACGCCCAAGAACAACACCAGATGAGCCAACGATTTGAACCTGACGGTAAAAACATGGAGTATAATCGAATGCCGTTTGGACTTTCCACCGATCCCACTGCCGGGTACTCGAACGCCATTAGATACGCAAACACGGGGGGCAATGCGGACGTGAAGGCCCTGCACCCCAACTCGGTGAACCTGGAGGATGACATCTTCTTCGAGATATCTGAGAGCG